GAGAGAGAGAGAGGGGTTTTTACTTTTAATTTTAGTACCATATAAAGTTCAGTGCTGTGTCCTTTAATTTTTAATAGCAATGCAGTTTGGGGTGTTATTTTCTGTTCTCTTCATTGCAGTTTGGGGTGTTATTTTCTGTTCTCTTCATGGCAGTTTGGGGTGTTATTTTCTGTTCTCTTTGTACCTTTATTTCTCATAACTAATCACTTTGATATCTTGATAGTGACTGGTATTACTTTCTCGTATCTTGCAGGGTTATTGTTGCTTGCCTAGCTGTAATTTTGTTGAAAGATATGAAAGGAAGCACCTCTTGTTCATCAAATGGAAGTACCTTGAAGCAAAGGTTTTGTTCACCAAACATCCTTGCCCATTGAGCTTCTATTTGGATTTCTTTAATTCCATGGCAACTCTTTTCATCCTCTCCAAATTGGATGTGTTGGGTCTCTCTCTCTCTCTCTCACACACACTCTCACACACACACACACACACACTACAAAGTCTCATTTTTTCTATGCCGATACTTTCAGGCAGCAGCTTACTTCTATCATGGTCTAATTCTTGGCAAGGGTGGTGAGGCAGTCGATCACATGAATGCAGTGAAATGCCTTCTTGCTGCCGATGAATTGCTTGTGGATAGCAAGAAAGCATGCTTAAGCTTTTGTGTTACTGCTCCTGTGACGAGGTAACCACATTTTTAGAGTGCAAAGCCAGAGAGAGAGAGAGAGAGAGAGAGCCACATTTTAGAGTGCAAAGCCAGAGAGAGAGAGAGAGAGAGAGAGAGCCACATTTTTAGAGTGCAATGCTAGAGAGAGAGGATTATGGTCTATATATATTGTTTGGTAGAAGTTCACCATAGTTCAATGGATTATTGAGCACGTTTGTTTCGTGTGAAAATATTTCAGGTGAAGAATTCCCTCATGTGATTAGGGGTGAGAATATTTTCACACTAATTGGTCCCAGTACATCTTTTCACATCAATTGGCAGCTATTTGGTGTGAAAGTATTCTCACACCAAAGCACATGAGGGACTTTTTCAATTGAACGTATTTCCCAAGAAATATTTTCACGCAAACCAAATGTTGAACGTCTCATTAAATGATGAACAATGATGGAATCAACCCACGTATTAGGTCATGTGCTGTTGTTATTTGGTAGGACTTCTCCATCATCGTCCATGAACTTGACTGATGGTCTCTGAATCCAATGGACCATGGTTTACTATTGTCTTTTGGACCATGCCATACTTGTAATCTCATGAGATAGGAGGAGGTATAATAAATAATGAGGAGAATGTTCTTTACTTTTGTTGCAGGGCTTCCCCTCTCTGGGGTGCAATGAAGCATTTGCATCATAAAATACCAGAGGTGGCCCTAAAGAAGTCCCAGATGTATGATCATCTTTTCAATTCTAACAAGTAAGGATCCCTAAAACCGATTACTTGAGCTATGTCTTGGAGTTAATTTCTCTAAATGTTCTGTGAATTCCCATTTTATATATGTGGCGCTACTGTTCATAGAGATGCCGCTCTCTCTCACGCACACACGCACAGGCACACACGCATGTACATACGAAAAACTTCTTAGACTGCCAGTTAATTGCCATCGGCCATATAATCATCTGAGCAAATTCTGAAGTACGCTAGTGTGATACTGTAGATGCAAGCCTTACATTTAGTGGTCTTGCTCCTTTGCCCTGCTTGTAGATTCAGTTTGTTGACATGGCACTGTTCATAACTGTTGGACTATGCTTCTTTTTATGTTACTTCTGGGTTTCCTTGAACTACAAGAAACAAGAAACACCATCTGTAACTCAGTTCCGTGAAATACAATAAATAAGAAACACCATCTGTGACTCAGTAGTTTAACATTTAACTTAGGGAAAAGTTTATATAAGGTTGCAACCTTAAAATGTAGAATCACAGATGCACTTCAAAAATCTATTGGAAATGTTGTTTTAATTTTGAAAAACCCTCTAATTGATCATCTCGACATCGAGATGTATGAATATGGAAAAAAAAAAAAGTTTTTGAATCCTAAAAATAGTGCATCTTGCAACACATTATCTAGACTGTCCATTTTGAAGATTTTCATATATTTATAGATCTACTTGATTTTAAGCATTTTTGGAATTTAAAAGTTTCTAATTAGATATGAAAATAGATTTTAAAATAATCCTAAGAATTTTTTACAACAAAATTACATGTTATGATAAAATTTTCATATATTATTTTCGAGTCTAGTTCTGCTTGTGGTGCTGAATTCTTTTCCTGTAGTTCAGCAGGGGAGCTGGAAGTTGCTATTGATTGGTTGCTGTCATTAATTGACTTGTAGTGGATGAATGAGAGAGAGAGAGTAGAACATGTTGAAGTATTCTATTGTTTTGTGTGTATGAGAGAGAGAGAGAGAGAGAGAGATTAGAACTTGTTGAAGAGCTCAATTGTTTTCGGTGGGTGCAGATTTTTTCCTCAAGCACTGCCCGAGCTTCCCGAGTTCCCACTGTCTCTAAAACCTGATTCCTACGAGTTTCCTTCAACTGATTCTTCATGGGAAAATGGTTTATGTGATTTGAAGGTCCAAACCCTTAAAGAGCACCTCAAAGATTGTGAGGATTCAGATTTAGAATGACGTTTTTTTTTGGCATTGTTATTCTACATTGAAGAATCTTAATGTGCAATTAATATAAAATAAATGTAATATGGTCATGGGACTTCAGCTTTTATTCTCTTAAATCAGATGGGGACAGAATTTGGTATGAATCTCTCTCTCCCCCAATAGCAGGCAAATAGAGGCAAACGGGTTCGGTTTGTGGTTGGTCGACCCCAAGCAGACTCCGACCCAGAGAATCCATTGTGAGCCAGCTCGAGTATTGAAACAGCTCGAGTATTGAAACAATGTATGCTCAAAGGTCCGAATTCAATTTGAACTGATCAATGGCCACAATCGCATGTGAGGATTTTATTTATTTTTACCGACCTGAAAATATCGGTGTATAGTCTACTCATTTAGATGCATAAAAAATTATCTAAATATGATTTAAAAAATAAATTGATTTAAATACCCATAAGTATTTTAAAGATATTCATGTTTTTCAAATTATGTTTCTTATATTCTCTAGGTGTTGTGTGTCCAAAATTTCAAGCCAATTAGTTTTGGAGAATTGTTTGGTGCGTCCAAGCCAGCGCTTGTTATAATTATCTACACCATCCACCAAAGAAAGTGTAGATCTACACCATAAATAATAATTATCTAAAGGAAAAGTAAAATCAATGGTTCAAATATTTTCTCTAAAAATTATCTTCTAGTTTTTTAAATTTATTTATTTTTACAGATTAATAATAGACATGTTAAAGATTTTATATTTCCTAAAAATTAGGATTAAATTCTATTCCAAAATAAATTATTAAGGGATTTGCATTTCTACACGTGAGTCCACGGACTCATAGAAACCGTGCCCCTCAGTTTTATAGAAGAAAATTAAAATTCAAACAGGATAAGCAATCGTGGGTGTCCCATTAGACCAAATGAATCTGGCCACTGGGTGTATACTATTTCAAATAAGAGGTGGAGTATGCTAGTAGGGATGCTATTAGATTTCAAATTTTGGGGATGGAATCTCTAATTTTGAAATAAAATTTCTCTCTAATGCATCAAAGATTAAATAGGTACCATCTCATTCTTGATGAGATGGATCTAAGTGTTACAAAACTCAAATTCAGATGTTTTATTTTGAAAATGATCATCCAGTAATTCTTTGTGCGTTTCTCAAAATTTTAGACCAATCAATCTTCCTAAATAGGTTCTACAGGAGCATAGCATACCGGCTCTTGGCTAAACTCCCTCTCCATCTCACAGGGATAACATACTTCCTAAATTTTATCCAAAGGAAAAGCACACAAGAGACCATTTACTTTTTGTATAAGATGGGCAAAGTTTATCTTGACGATTGAATATGAAATTGGATGGTTGCATTTATACCATTAATCAAGCTCAGACTCCAAAATAAGTTTTTTCAAACTTTGTGACACCCAAACAATCATATTTCCTTATAAGTAAGGAAAACAATTTGATAACGCTGCAACCCGCAAAGTGCTTTCGATGAGGATTTGAGATAGGGATTTATTCTGTTTTCATAAAACCTAGGCCGTGTAGAAACTTCATCGCATAAGTACTTGTGATATCCTTGTGTTAAATATCTTATCCACCAAAAACTATTCAATTCTAAATCATACCCACCGTATAATTTTCATGAATATCCTCCAATATTTTTCATGAATATGCAATAAATATAGGAAGATCTCTCAGTAAAGATGCTAATGGAATGATAAAACAGGAATCACATAATTTTCGAGAAAACATAGGAAGAAGACACAAGCTACACAAAAAAAGGAAAAAAACTAATTGAGTTACTATGATTGGATATTCTTGACTTGACTTGAATTGAAGGAGGACAAAGCCTCATGCATTATTGATGGCATATCCCCACACGTATCACTGAGGATTTGGTTTATCATATTTTCTCCCTCTTCATTCTTTTATTCTTCTTTTCTCTCTCTCTCTTAATACTTCCTTCAGAGATAATCTTTTATTCTTCTATCTCTTAATATTTCCTTCATGAGATAAAGATGAGAGACATAAATAGTTTGATGTAACATGCGATTATTGCGTGTTTTTGTTACGAGAGAGAAGGATGAGGAGAAAGAGAGCGAAGAAGGATACGTATGAGAGGGAGAGAGAGAAAGCAGCACGGAAGCAGAAGCTTTTGAAGGTGCCACAAATGGGGAGCCACCCAGTATGAGGGTTCCCGTATTTCCCCAACCATGCCATTGCTGTTGCACCTGATGATCCCGCCATTACCACGACCACCATTATCTGCAACAAATTCAACACAAATCAATCATCGAGTGAGACAGAGAGAGAGAAATCTATTGAGAGAAAACCCATTACCAGGTCGAGTAAGAACACGAAGAATCCGATTTTTTGACCCGAACCTTGGGCCTTCTTTAACAGAAGGTAGGTCAAGGATAGCACCGAATACGCAAATGCAATACTATTCGATGCTGTAAAAAACCTGTTAATAGGCATATAAATTAAAACACAAAAGAAGAAAAGTTGCAGAGTAACAGAAAAAGATTATACATAATGCATTCACCCAAACGAAACGAAAAGAGTGAGAGGATACATAATGAGGTTTGTTTTGTTCTGTTACCTAAACGCCGGAGCGTATGTATATTTAGCAGTGATGGGAAGACCGAAGAGAGAGATTGACTGTTTGTCTGTAACCATTAGGATAGTTGCAGATAAGGAGGTGATTGCCGCAATGGACCTCACAATAATTTGAGATAAGAGAAAGGATTTGTGGGTTATGGGGAGTGGATGGGCCTCTGAGCTCAGGGGATTCGCCTGTTTACCAGCCATTCTAAACAGCGATCATCAAGGGGCGAAAGCCTCAGAGAGAGAGAGAGAGAGAGCTTGTATTTGTAGGAGGGAGCTTGTTAATGGCAGTATTGATGGAGAGAGAGAGAGAGAGAGCTGGTATCTGTAGGAGGCAGCTTGTTAATGGCAGTATTGATGGAGAGAGAGAGAGAGATGGTCAGGCTTCTTAGTGGGGGTATAGAGAGAGATGGAAAAACTTATTGGTTGGGGTATTAATAGGAGAGGGAGAGAGAGCTTGGTAGCGGTCAATATCTTGGTTGGATAACTCCCAGTCGCACCAGACCCAGCCGGGTTACATAGAATCGGTCCATGGGCAAGTCCGTTTAAGTCTAATTTTGTTGGTCTAAGTTCTGAAGTTTGAAAAAAATTAATAAAACATTATTAACGATGTAAAAACTAAGAAATGTATTTGCAACGTGTTTTTATATGTTTTCTACCATTTTCGTAAAGATTGAAAAGTATTTTGACCATAAACACTTGTTTTTCCATTTCCATTCTTTTTGTTTTATTTCTAAAATGCCCATAGTCACAAATTGATTTTTAAAAATTTATTTTTCACTAATTTATTAACTCACTTGATAAATGCACTTTTCGTACCACTCTAACTATATCGGTAGGACTAAGTTATTAACTATGGATGTGGTTTGTATAAGGCCCTGGCTCTACACAATCAAAGTAAAGTGCACCTTCAAATAGTATTGAGAAATGTGGTTTCAATACTGAAAATATTTGTGATATCCTTAAAATATAATTTCATTATCAAATTTAAAGCTTCAAAAAGACTGTAGATCGAACATAGCTATAAAAACTTGAAAATTGATTGTCCAAAACTACACTTCAGGATGCACTATTTCCACAACTTGAAATCCATTTTTTCCTCGTGTCCATGTACCTTGAGGTTGAGTTGATCAATTTGAGGACGTATGGGCAGCAAGAAAACATCTTTTACTGAAATTTTTGGTGTGCGCCCTAATTTGAATGTTTAGAGCCTCTCACTTATATATACTTTTTCCATTAACAAATTTTGAAAATTGACTGTCCAAAAATGTATTACAAAATACA